TATGTTGCTACATTAACCCAGTTGAAACTGGTATGTAGACAGGAAATGAAGGCTCGGGAGTCTATAGGTACTGTTTCACTTTCAAACTCTATTCTTACTCTCAAATGTCTTACAGCTCATCCACTCAGAGCCTTCAGCCTTGCATGACTCCTACCACGGAACTAGCTCTGCCATGAGCACAAGGAAACAGGATTAAACCCAGGCATCACCTCATACAGTAGTTTTCCACTCATCGTATTCCAGTAAAGTTTAGGAAGTTTACAATGATTAAAATCAACCTGAGAATAAAGTTGGACCCCCCAAACATTTAAAGATATGGGAAGTTTTTTATTTTATCCTGCTTATCACCAGGGGGTAACAGTTATCTTAAAATTAGATCTGATTACAGGTGTGTGAAAGAAATTGGCTGCTTTCAGTTCCAGTCTAAGAAAAGTCCCACAGCAAAAGTGTTCCACCCTCACAGTTGGTCATCTGATCCTGTGGACTCCCATCGAAGAAGGTAAAGAACAATGCATCATTTTATAGTTACGGATGCTAGCCCCGTGCATACACTCTAGCTACTTGCGGTACTAGATAAGAACTTAAAGCTTCCAACAAAGCAAATATTTCTCACCCTACCTGAAGTTGCTTCCTCCAGCAATCCTGCTGGCAGCAGGCAGGTCTAGAACCAGTAGCTTTGGCCTGAAAAGGAGATTGGTTCATCATTTGAGCATCTCATTTTTTCCCTAATTCTGAATGAGAGGGCAGCATGGCACCTTCTGGTTTGTAGAAAGACATGATTCCCCTAGGCTGGCAACTGTTTATTTCAAAGTTACTTTATAAAACATTTATGAACTTATTTTATAAGCCTAATCTACCTCATCCTAACCTTAAATACTAATTGTGACTCATAAGAATGACACCACTTACCACATATTTACCCATACATGTACTAGATGACCCAGCTTGCTGACCAGCCAAACTATGGTGATGTTCAATTTTCAGCCAATGGAAGTCCCTGCTTCCAAAGGTAAGAGTAATAACACCACCACTAGGATTAAGTAAGATTAAAATGTTACTGAACTTAAGAGCTACTAAAAAACAGGATAAGCAGATTTCTCAGAAAAAAATATTAAAAGGAACCTGATTTTGGCAACATCATTGAAATATTAGTGCCAAATATCAAGACAGATGGAAGTTGCATGTCAAATTTTGGGGGAAACAAGTTAGATTCTGCCTTGTATACTGGAAAACAACAAAAATCTTGGGAAAAATTTTTCTTAACAGTTATTTTCTGTAACAATACTGTAGTTCATATTTTCTGTGTTTTGTAAAAGTTTGAAAAAACCTATTGCCAGTTAGGTGAATGCAACTGCATGCACCAGAGCCAGAGCTGGTTTAGCAAAGCCTCTGAAAAGATTTCTACGTGCTTTTTCTCTCCATACAACAGAGACTGGAGTAGCCTGATTGTAGCTGTGATTTTTCAAGTATGTAAATAAAGTTAAGCCTGTAAGTCGCAAGTTTGCTGTTGAAAAGATAGCTGGAAGAGAGTTGGGCATATGAACAATTTGGAGAGTTGGATGTGCAACAATCTTAGGGGCAGGAGCCTTCATGCACTGAAAGCTGCATGTGCTACTCATTAAGTAACTCAGATTCTGACTAATTATTATCAGATTATTCACTTCTGAGTAAATAAGATTATTTACAAGGAAAGCCCAAGTGGTTTCCTGGCTAAAAAGGGGCCATCATTTTTTGCTGCAAGCAGCTGTCTCCTAAAGCAGCTTTTGCATGTGTGAACAGCCAGCTATTGTTTTGCTGATTCTAAGCAAACTGTGGCCAAGGCTGAACAGCTTCATCATTTCTTTGGAAAGGATTGTACCCCTTTAAGAACACCAAGTGGGAGGTGATATAGGCACTGCCATAAAAACAAGTACCTGTGCGGACTGCCCTGTTCTGCTCACCTGAGCCTTGCACAGCTGTCAGGACACTGCCCTCCTTGGTTTGTCTGGCAGGCTGAACATCTCCATCACACACTTTTGCTGCCTGACAGCAGAAAATGGACACCCAAACAAAGCAGCTTGATTTTATCTGCAAGACTAGAGGACACTGAGAAGGTAAGAGTGATAAGAAGAGAGATAAATGCTTACAGGACCACACAAGGTTTAGAGAAAGCCAGAACTTATTTCAGGTAGTCAAACTGAGAAAGATGTGAACATTCAACTCAAATTCAATTGCTTGCTGGCCTTCTTGCAAAAATAAGGGGATAGATAAATTACTGCTAATTTTATTAAGAACACATCAGGTGGGAAGGGATGAAGAGGAAAATACAGAGCTTTTATATGTATTATAGAAGAACAGTATATGTAATATATAATTTAAGTTCATTAATATCAAAATAATTTGCTAAATTGTTAATACTTACATCTGCAAGTGTACTGCATAAGGCAATCCCTTATTTCCCTTTTAAAGTTAGCTGACCTTCAGCTTGTATATGTTTATTTAGAAGTGTTTAAAGTTAAACATTTCAGAACAGGAAATTGCCTATTTGACTCACAGATGTATATAACCCTTCTGTGCAATACATTCAAGAGTCAGAAAACTAATAGACATATGCCAGGAACTCTAAGTTAACACAAAACTACCTTATTACATGAAAGACAGAAATCAGAATGTACACAATGATTTATGTATACTTAACAGCTGAGAAACACTTCTGTTGCATTTTAACTTTCATTGTAGTCACCTATTTACATTGCAAGTGAGGTGAAACATACTTCAACTAAGGCATGCTCAGCAAAATTCCAGTGTACTACTTTTGCATTATTAAATATGCTTTAGTATAGCTTTAACATATAGTATGTTAGTATAGTATTATATTATAGTATAGCTTTAATATATTAGCATAGTATAGCTTTAACATCTTCTCCCAAATTTTATACATCTAATATCTGCAACCATGTATTTTTTAAAATTCTGTAAGCTACATTTGCATCCTGTATCGACTTTACTCAGAGAAAGTTAAATATACACATTTACTTAAAAGTCAACACACTAAACTACAGCACTACCTACTAAAATACTTCAAACAATTAATACTGAAATATTTATAGCTAACATTTTATCTGGTTGTTACCTGTAAAGGAGATATAATGCAAGCAAATTCAGTGATATTTCTTTTAATGCTTTATGATTCTGAGCATTTTCGCAACACTGATGGTTTGAAAGGTTTGGCCGTCTAGAAATCAAAGCAGTGTTACTAGAGGTTTGAGGATTCATGTAGTTAAAATACAGCCTTCTCTAAGGTAGCAAACTCATTAATTTGATTAATGGCTTTTACAAGAGTTTTAAGTGACACTTTAAACTTGCAGTATAGTCATCTCTTGATCATGACCCCCATCTCAAGTCAATTACCGTGCAAGAAATCTAGGTCTGAGCACTTTTCGCATTCCTACCATTCGCTATGTCTGATTGTAACACACAGTCATAGAAGTGGCAGAGAAATTCACCCTTCTACAGTTCCACGCCGTTACAGGGCGCACTGTGGACATTGCAGCCATTATGACCTCTTCAGAAAACTAGTCTAGACATGTGTAGTTATCTTTAAAGATTAATAGGAAGTTGGCAGTTGTGTTGGAGAACAAGTACACAGAAACACTTGTTTTCACCACTTGAAGGCTAAAGATTTAAATCACGGAGTGGAACAGAAAGCAGAACATGTTCATGGTTGTTGCTAGTTTAGCCCTTCTGACTTGTTCTTCTATTAAAATAAGTACATGCCTGGGAGTAGGGGTGTTGACACCTCTGTGAAATGGTAAGTGTACTGCACCTCCAGTTGTGCTAAGGCAGCTGAGAGTTAATCTTTGTATCTAACTGGGCAGCTATCGCATCTAGATAATAAAACCCCTCCCCACATAAAGAGCTATAAGGCCTGTTTGTATAAGATACCAGAACTTCAATATCATTTGTCTGGTTTTATCGAATATGCTAAATTAGCATAATTTAGTGGAACTGCTGACCTACAAAAATGATTGTGCAAAGAGATAACTTCAGTCTTTACCATTTCAGATGTGTATTTGTTTAGCACTATGGATCATGTTTTTTCACCCAATCTGACTGTATTAATCTCCATCAAGCAATTAATCTCCACCAGAAAAACTAGTGATTGAACACTGTCACAAAGATAAGTCTGTGACCAAGGTATTTCCAGAAGTGCTAATACAACTACATTATGTAGAAGTTCTTTTGTTTGCTCTAGCTTCAGTCTGTTTTAATAATAATGAAACTCCAAGTTTATACTGAATAAGACCCTTCCTTTGGGGATGGAGAAAAGAAAGGGAAGGATTGATTCCCACTTAAATATTAGTGTACAGTACAATGAATGGCCCAGAGCTTTCATAGAAAACTTAACCTGGCTGATTGGCCTTTCTTTAAGGCACAGTTTTTTTCAATGTAAGAATAATCTTTCCTCTTCCTGCCCCACAGCATGAATACGGAAAAGGTAAACCAAATTGTGCTTGCTTGAAAAGATAAATGATAAAACACCAGTGCCCTGCTACCTGCTTCAGAGAGCAACAAAACCAAGCCTCCCAATATACATCTCCAGGTGGGTCTTTCCAAGTGATACACTCTGCTGGGATCCATTTGGCTACATTTGTCAGTATTTTCTTGCCTACAAGAACATCTGGAGTGGAACCTGATGCTATTGCCAAGAGTTTCAAGTAACACTAGAAACAAAAATCTTGGAGCAGGCCACCCAGCACAAAATTAAACACTGCATTCACCTGTTTGGATATTAGTCAAGGGTCTAATTTCCTTGCAGTGCTTCCATAAATACTCAGATACACAAGCCCATAAGCAAGTTTATTCTTGCTTTACAAACATTTAGCAAGCTTTTTACTCAGCAAGAACAGCTTCAAGTAGCTTGCTAGTGGCAAATTCATTCTGTTGCAGGCAATGAGGTTCTTATCTGCCTGAAGTCATCAAACTCCAGAAATCATTTAAGAGTGAGGATTTACACAGAAGCAGTTCTTTACAAAAGCATGAAAATATTGACATAAACCTGAAATGCTGCGTTGGGGGAGATGAAGGCACTGCAGCTTTTCTGTGGTAACTGAAGATGAGGAAAGGCAAACTGTCTTTGCCCACATTTCCTGTTTGCTTCCAAATGAGTGTTTTGCTCTCAGGTGCTTTTTGATTGTCATTAACTGCTGTAGTTAATAAGCATAATATTCTGATAGAAACAACAGAAAATAGAACTCAATTCACCGATATGAAACAGGCCTTGCAGACTTTGATCCGCTCTGCACATACACACTTACTAGGGTCCAAAGAATTTTTTAAAGCTTGTTTTTCTGTTCCCAAGGTTAGCCAGCAGTACTGGAGTTGTGACCTTTCCAAGTAGAGAGGGCGAAAATTACATTATAATTATTCTGAAGTTTGGAGGAGGAAAAGAAATACATAAATAGATGCCAATTCAAATACCAGCTCATCTTTCTGCTCCATGCAAAAAGTCTTAAGAGGAAGCACAGCTGAGAGCAAGTTAACAGGTTGGGAGGCCCCTGCCTCCCACAAACACTTCACTCAGGGACCTTCTCATGTTACAGTGACACCTATTTGCTTCAGAAGGCTGTCTTAAAGCTTTACACAATTCCTGTAGACTGCAAATAAGCCTCTTACGCATAACAATGTTGCTTCAAATCCACATTTGACCTCATCATATGTTGAGGTATAGCTTCCTCCCCAGTTGCAGTAAGGAGATAAATAATCTGGGTTTTCATGAGGTTTTCAGTAACATTAGCTCTCCAAAATTAAAAGATATTCATTACTAATTTGGAAAAAATAAATGCAAGATTAGCAGAGAAAAATAACTGACCTTAACATAGGTTCATTACAGCTAGAATCAAAGATTACATTCAGTACAGTAATGAATGCTGCAGGCAGAACAAGCACCCAGAAACAGTTGGGGTAGATTTCTTGCAGGATAAACCAAAAGGCAACCGTCTCAGCTGCACCCTCGTTCTCTACTTCACTGGGAGAGAGCAGCCCATGCTAAAGAGTGTATCACCCTGTCTGCCCATATGTAGTTTTGCTTTTTACTAATAATCAAAAGTTAAAGCTTCAAATCAAATGTTCAAATACTATTTTCTGGCTTTTCTATATTGCAGCAAGCTGTAAACTGGCAAAGTATGTCAGCTGAATATACCATAGTGCAAGTCTCTTTACCTGCTTATGTAGTCCTCAGCAACAGTTGTGTGCCACAATCTTAAAGATGCTACAATTCATAAATGGATCCCCTTCACTGCTAAGGAGATCAGTGAAGCAAACCACAACCTAAGAAATACATTTTTACAAGGCCTGGTTTAGATTGCGTTAAACATTCGTGACTACTGAAGCATACCGGCTTCATTTCCCGAATTATGTAACAAGGTCATTATTTTGTTTTCTGCAGAAGGTATGAGAATTTTATTGTGATTTTTCTAAGGACTCTGTCCACTCCACTAAAATGAACCCTTCTTTAGTGTCCAAAAAGGTCTTCCATCAACTATAGTTCACAACAAAAGCTTTTACTTGTTTAGCCTTCAAGCAAATCTTAAATGAAGCACTGGAAATGGAAGACAGAACCAGAAATCCCACTTCTCCAATAGGCCTTTTTTCCTAAAATGTAATTTACTGCATTCTGTTTGTTGCCTCCAGCTGCAATTCTTGCAGAGGCCTTCACTTTTCTACCTAGTTAAATTCAGGAGACAGATCTAGAGCCTTCACTGCAAAATATTTCATGGTTTAGAAAACAGATTTGATATTCTCCGGCATTCACTGACGAGGACTGGAGACAACTTGCAAAACCCCAGTGACAGTTTGTGTTTATTCTGAAAGAAATACTACTGCTTTTGTGTTTCTAGAGCTATGTGTGCATCAGACACTGTAAGTGTGAAAAACACCTCACTGCCTGAGCAGTCCCAGATCTTTTACAGCTGTGCTGAATGAAACACAGGCTGGCTCTGGCTGACACACGCAAACAATACTTGGAGGGGCCACTGCATCATGGCCTCCAGCCTCTGTACCTCCTGATTGCACAGCACTACAGTTTAACAGACTCGCTTGTCAGTACACCTATTTCTATTTTGGATGGATTCCACTGTCATAAATGTACCTTATTTATGATGTATCTTACTGAAAATTAGGTAATATAGTGCTACTGATGTATGATAACCTTTCTGTCATACAGGCATAGTTACAAAGAGTTCCTGATGCATTCATTTCCCAAAAGACCACAGCAAGCTGCATATGCACCCTGGGGCTGTGCAGCACTTGCTTGCTTAAAAGATAAGAGCCCAGAGTTTTAGAATGCAAGAACATGAGTGCTGGGAAAGTATAGAATAGGTGGGTGAAGGACAAATTAATAGTTTGAGGACATTACATGGGACTTATTATCAGTTATTAGCCATCAGCATTTTTTCTGGCTAAAGCAAATGTAGTCTGACTGGATTTTTGTCTTAGCCAGGTGCTGAGGAGAGATCAATAGAGCAGAAAACAGGGACAGGGGATTTCCTATGCAAACTATGGCCAAATAGACACTTGTCTAAACAGGGAAATTGCAACAAATTGAAGTAGGGGAACGAGGAAGAGAATGAAATAACAAACATCAAGAACTGAAATAAAACTGAAAGAGTAAGCAAAAATAGCAGCAGCAAGAGGTTAATAGGAAATGCCTTGCAGAGAAAAAGGCAGGAACAAGAGGCAAAGCAAGTCAGAAATTGAGATTTTTAAAGGAATTTATTGACAGACAACATTTAATTAGAGAATAAGAGGCCCACCTCCAGTATTCCCAGTGCAGCAATGAAGAAGCACAAGGCAGTTCCTGTGCACAAACCTCACTTCTCCCCAGCTGCCTCACCTGGTTGCAAACAGCCTCACACTTACCTTCATCCACTAACCAGGGGAAAGAGAATAAAATCACAAGTGCCACAAGAAAGGTCAGAATATCACATAGCCCAACAAGCCCCAGAGCTCAGTCCACATTAGTCAGAGCTGCCAGTCTGAGCAGATGAAAAACAAGCAAAACCAAGCAATTTTGTATCTGGGTGAAAGCAAACACAGCCAGCTAGGGGAGCAAACCTGGTAGGCAGCATTCCAGCATCAGCGAACTGTCCCACCACAGATAGGTGTCTTAGCTGTCAAGGAAGCAGCAGCCACAAGGTTACTTCAGGCTCTGAGCTCAGGAAGCTTCACCCATGTCCTCCATACTTCTCCCCAGTTTACAAGAGTTGACATTAATCTAATTTAAAACTTGACACAGCCTTATGAGAATTGAGGTTTCTGGAAAGGTCTTGGCACTGCTGCAAGGCAGACACCAACCCTGGCTGGGCAGACACAGCTGGGTCTGGAGAGAGAAATGTTTTCCACCCCCAGAATCTGTGTATTTCTTTCTCAAAAAGGCTGAACTGGTAACTCAATAGCAAGAGAAGGTAAACACATAAGAAAGGCTGACACTAGAAAGCCATGGTTTGACTGGGTAGCAGGGTCCAGTTCATTTAGCAGCCAAAAGAAACTCCATCGAGAGTCAGTCTAACAGATTGCTAACCTTCATCGAAGATCATCACTACTTAAATCCTCCAGGATTTGTTACCAGACTTCTGCTGCTTCTCCTCACAGGCCACAACAAATAATTTACCTAAATGTGATTTTCACATTATTAAGCCAGGTACAAAATTGCTGGCAACCCATTAGCTTCCCACATAATAGACAAATTCTTCTACTTTCCCTAAATAAGCATATTGCATCAACCCTGTTTCAGTCTTCTCCTTTACATAAGGATCAGGATTTAATGATGGAAACCCAGTACATCACCCACTTTGAAAAGCAACAGACAAATCTGAGGTCTCCTCTGGTGAACTCAAGGCAAATTCCCAGTAACTTCCTTACTGCTAGAGCACAAAGTCAAGAAATTGTAGTGGGAGAAAAACCCACTCAGTTCCTGGCCATCTCCTTTTATTCAATCTAACTGCTCTGGCTTCATTATGGCTTTCAGGTGTGTAGGTCCTGTGCTGAAGGAATTGCACTGAGCCCTTAGACACACCTATTAACAGTTCTGTCTCCTTGTCTCAAAACCAACATGATTTAACTCCTTACTAGCCGGTCTACTCTTTCTATTTTGCAAAACTAAAGAGATGTATTAGCTCTGTTTCTGTTCTGCATGTATGCCCTACTGCCTACCTGCTAAACTTCTCTGCATCTTAAGTTCATATTTGTTTGATTAAACCATTTCAAATAGAAATCAGTTTTCAACAGAGTTAACAGTTTCATTATATTTGTAGTCATTTTCAAAGCACATAATTCTTTATTGAGTGTCCATTGAAGCTCTCTGGTAAGCAAAGAGTTTCTAAAGCCTACTTTATAGGGGAAGACTGAAAGAGCTAAAATACACATTCTGATGGCTGCATTGGGTTTGTGTAGCAATGTTTTGGTAGAAGGGAGGGGACTGCATGGGGGGGCTTCTGTGAGAAGCTGCTAGAAGGGTTCATCTTGAAGAAGTTCATGGAGGACCATCTCCTGTGGAAGAGCTCACAGCCTGCAGCAGGGGAAGAGTGTAAGGAGTCTTCCCACTGGGAAGGAAGGAGAAGCACAGACAACGTGTGATGAACTGACCACAACCCCCATTCCCCGTCCCGCTGTGCAGTAGAGATTTTGTGAATAAAGTTAAGCCCAGGAAGAAGGGGGGGATGTGAAGAAGGTGTTTATAAGATTTGGGTTTATTTCTCACTATCCTACTCTGATTGATAATAGATTAAACTAATCTCCCCAAATGAAGTCTGTTTTTTTTTTTCTGTGATGGTAGTTGGCAAGTGATCTATCCCTGTGTTTATCTCAACACAGAGGCCTTTTATTATATTTTCTCTCCCCTGTCCATTGAGAAGGGGAATAATAGAGCAGCTTTGGTGGGCACATGGCATCAAGCCAGGGTCAACCCACCACAATGGCAGATAACTTACAGTTCTTTCTTCTTTCCATCGTATGCTTTTATTCTCAGCTTTAGTTTTGATACATGACAGTGTCATAATAACTTTTTGTATTGAAGTGAGAGGTGAGGGGCTTAAAAATAAAAATTTTAAATAGAAGGTGACAAAGGCTTTCCCAAGAGTAACGAATGCCATTTCTAAGTGGATGTAGTATCTTATCATCAGCAACTGCAACTGAGCCAAATGGGAGAGGCAGGATGATGCTCCATGGAGGCTCTCAAGGGGACAGTACAGGAGAGGGGAAGAAAGAAGAGAGAGAGAAGGAGCTCTTCTGGGGCCTGCAGCCACGCAAAATGGGTGTGTTCTTTAGGATGAGAATAACCGGCCAAAGAAGCTGACAGCCCTATGCTGGCTAAACCAAACACATCTATACAGTTGTAATGCCTATTTACAAGAAAGTAATGCAGTGTAATTTTTGCTTTACAGCTTCAGACTATTGACATGGAGAAGATCATCGTGGAAACGAACCTGGCCCCTTGGGAAATACTGCTGGTCATATTTGCTGCCGTGCTGATAATGAGTTTTCTCATGTTTCTACCCCCCACTGCAGTGGTGATCTGGAGAATGAAACATGTACCACAGATCTCACTGCATGGCTCAGTGTGAGCCAGACCTGGTACAAGCTGTAACACCACCGATCCCTTTAAAGAATGGTTCAGAATGATAAAATCTCTCAGGTTCAGGCACTTTTACTGCCTAGGATCCATCCAAAAGGAATGGGTGTCCCAACCTGTTACTGCTATGTTCCTGTGAAAAGAGAACGTGTATAATTTTGTCTTCATGTACTACAGTTCTCAACACTTTGACTTCCTTTTTTTGGCTATGTTGTAATTACTGTTGTTGGCTTAGTTCCTAGACAGACTCTTGTCTTGCATTGTAATGGACTGAAAACAAGACTGAAAGAGAAGTGAGCATAATACAGCATTGTTTTTGCTTAATATCTGGAAAGACTCCTTTTCTACAGTTACGCAGTAAATATTACCAAAGCCTTTAGCTGAGAAGACTGCTACCTATGCAAGTGTATATGCCAAAATCATGAAATGTATTCTAGGAAGGCAGTGCTTTACTCTGGTTGTAACATGAAATGTAACAAACCTGACAAGAATGGCACAATAAATAAGCATCTTGCATTTCTTCTGTCTGATCTGCTAAACCTACTGGCCTAAAATATTTTTTTCTTTCATAGAATCACAGAATAGTAAGGGTTGGAAAGGACCTTAAGATCATCTAGTTCCAACCCCCCTGCCATGGGCAGGGATGCCTCACGTGAGACCATGTTGCCCAAGGCTCTGTCCAACCTGGCCTTGATCACTGCCAGGAATGGAGCATTTACTTCTTTGGGCAACTTGTGCCAGCACCTCACCACTCTCACAGTAAAGAACTTCTTCCTTATTTCTAACCTGAACTTCCCCTGTTCCTCATTACCTCTTGTTCTATTGCTATGGTCCCTGACGAAGAGTCCCTCCCCAGCATCCCTATAGGCCCCCTTCAGATACTGGAAGGCTGCTAGGAGGTCTCCACGCAGCCTTCTCTTCTCCAGGCTTGAACAGCCCCAACTTTCTCAGCCTGTCTTCATACAGGAGGTGCTCCAGTCCCCTGATCATCCTCATGGCCCTCCTCTGGACTTGTTCCAACAGTTCCATGTCCTTTTTATGTTGAGGACACCAGAACTGTACACAATACTCCAGGTGAGGTCTCACAAGAGCAGAGTAGAGGGGCAGGATCACCTCCTTCAACCTGCTGGTCATGCTCCTTTAGATGCAGCCCAGGATATGGTTGGCTTTCTGGGCTGTCAGCACACACTGAAGCCAGCTCATGTTCCTTTTCTCATCAGCCAACACCCCCAAGTCCTTCTCTACAGGGCTGCTCTGAATCTCTTCTCTGCCCAACCTGTAGCTGTGCTTTCTTTCCTTCTATGTGAATTTTATTCCTCTTTGCAAATCCTAAGTGCCAGAACACAGACTGTGAGAACACAAAGCCCTCCTCATCCTGAGGTTAGAGCACGAACATGAGGGATGGCCCAATGCTCAGACATGCCCGCCCAGAAACCAACTTGAAGTTAATGCAAGCATACAATAACTATTTGCCTGAATTACATTATGCAAATTTACACTGGGAAATAATATGATTAAATTTACTTCAGTTTTTAACTGTGTCACACAGGCTTATTGGTTCAACTTCCCTTTCTCATATGTAAGTAATAACTTGGATGATGGGAATAGAACAAAACTGCTTCTCCGCAAGTTTATGAAAAAACAAACAAACAAGTCCAACAATGCAGTCTCCAGCTTAACATCACATTCATGCCACATCAAATGAAAGCTTTCCACCCTAATTCTTTTGCACTGTGGGACACTCACTAGCAGGATTTCTGATGCACAGATTTGACAGTTTCTGTTAGTTTACAAGAGCAATGGGTTTTATTTCCTTATGAAATCCAGTACTGAGTTTCTTTTCTTTTGTTGGCTGGTTTGGAAAGTCATGAGAATAGCCTAACAACTCAGAGGAAAATATTTTTTAGCAGCAGTAGGAAAATGACACTGGAACGTTTTTATTCTCCAGATACTTTATTTGAGCATCAGCTGATAATGAATTGGCTGAAAATCAAAACCTTAAAGATATTATTATTTCATGCAATAGAGATTATTTGTTTGCCAGAAAAAAAAAAAAAAAAATCAGTGATTGAAAAAAGCATTTTTTTTCTTTAAGACTGCAGCATTTTTGCCTCCAACACAATGACTGAAGTTACTGCCTCAGTTTATAATCAATTGAAGCAGCCAACTCATCCCTTTGTTGGTGTAATTGTCTGCTACACTCATCGTCATATTACTGTCTGGTTCTGGGCCCAAAAGCAGCCAATGGGATTTTTGCTTGTAATGGCTGGCATCAGAGTCTGAAAGATGTGTGTAGTTTTACATATCTGAATCATTTAACTGATTAATGAGGTAAAGGTCAATTATACATCATGCACCGTGTAGTTATGATGCCTGTGTCTGAGATTCACAGGAATAGGGAAAAGGTAAAGAAGAGAAAGGAAACACAAACAGATGAGCTGGCTGTCTTCAGATCTATGGCTTCAGTGTTTGCTCAAGAGAAGAAAATTAAAACAAAACCTCAAGCACAGATTCCACTGAAAACCAAGCAAACAGTAACTAAGCTTTTTGTTTGGATTTCATAATGATCCACATGCACATATGTTTTGTTGCTCCAGCTCCACAAGTAAACTGAATCACCAGGGCTAAATTGTCTTTTGTCTTAACTTGCATCAACTGCCTTGTGGACAATGGCTGGAATTTTCTGCCCTTCACACTTCTTACTCTGTGCCTCTGTTTTTCCAGAGTACACATGAACATGGGGAGTGGGGGGTGGGGGGTGTAAAAGAGGGAGAGCTCACAGAAGAACGGGGATTGGAGCAGGAACGAGTGGTCTTATATGCCATGAGAAGAATCGACAACAGAAAAAAAAATCACTTGGATATTTGTTCTTGTATAGAGCTGTTACAAATTCAGATGACCAGCTAAAATTTTTGCTAACTCCGGCAACAGCCAAACCTGTCCCAGATTAGACTAGGTTTAGAAATAAAATGAACAGGGAAAAGCGAGGAGGATTATTAGCCAGATGCTGTGAACATACTGGGCTAGGACCAGCAGCTGCCCCAGCACTACGGCACTGAGATCAGAGCATCTCAACAGGTTGCCCTGAAATCGGCCCTTAGAGCTCTACCCTAAATATGGCCCATCCCAACTCTATTACAACCAGACCTCATTTGCTTTTGCGCTTTACCTCTGAAGCCAAGCCAGACCTTGTGATAGCTATAGGCTCCATATAAGGAAGGCACTGCAAGTGCATGTGTCACATACACCCAGGCTGTGCAAGAAAGTGTGAGTCCAGAAGAGCACTTGCAGCCCTGCATCCCACAGGGCAGACATAGCTGTTAGAGCAAATCAAGGATCAAGAGAGCTTTCTTTCCAGAACCACTATGGTTTTGCCCCACAGGAACTAAACAAAGGAGACTAAAAGCAGATCCCTGGCACACAAACTACAGAGGTCCCTCAACACCCACTGCTTTCATGTTTTTGGCAGAGGAGACACTGTGCAAATAGTTTA